GGTCACTAGATTTGGAGCAGTGTGAAGCGTCCACTCTTGGCAGCCTTTTGAGATAAGTGAAAAACCCTAAGGCAGAAAAGCAAGAGGTCCAGGGACTGGACTGAGGTTGGAGTAGTGACAGGCACAGATACATTGCTATTTAACAGCTGCCTGTGTGCACAGCACAAAGCAGATCAGGCCACAATCCCTGGCCACCCCTGAGGCTGTACATATACACAAAAGGAGAAAGAGCCCAGGAGAAAATAAATGGTGGAGTGTGTGCAAGAATGGCCTGAGCTTTGAATGTGCTCCTGCAGTAGGCTGCTTGTTATGGGATCCTCAGTGATGTATGGCTCCTGGTATCAGGGCCCCAGGTGATGCCCTCTGTCTGGGATACAGCTGATATAGTGACTTGCTTCTCATAAATAGAATATTGCAAAAATGATGGATGTCACTTGCAAGGGAAAGTTGTAAGAGACTGACTTCTGCCTAGTTCTTTCTCTCTAGTTCCTCTCCTTGCTTCTTTCATGAAGCAAACTACACAACAAGAGCAAATGTGGGAATGTACATCTACCAAGAAACCAAGGGTGGTCACCAGAAAGCTTAGTCACTTTTCTTGTTGCTGAGACAAAACACCCAACACCCAAAGTTAAAGGGGGGAAAGGTTTGTTTAGCCCACAGTCTGTAGAGATTTCAGTCTATAATTGGCTGGCACCAAGGCAGAGCAGCACATGGCAGAGGGGCATCACAAGGGAGAACAGCTCATGGCACCCACAAGGTAGCAAAAGCAACAAGGGATCTTAACAGCATCTTCCCGCTTTCACACCCTTAATCCTAGTGCCCTTGAGCCTGGCATTGTACAGTGAATCAATTCCAGCACCACACCCTCTAGATCCAGCCACCTCGGAAAAAGCCTCACCTATGACCACATGGCTTTGAGAGGACATCTAGACACAGCCATAACAGCTGAGGACTGGTGCTCTTGATTCGATTCAATGGCCTTCAAGGAAGCCAACCCTTCCAAGAACCACACAGAGAGCTTGCACATAGAGCCTCCCAGTCCAGCCTTCAGATCACCCACCTGGCCAGCACCTTCACTGTGGCCGAAGCCAGAGAACCTAGCTAAGGCACACTCCTATTTCTGACCCACAAAAACGGTGAGATCATAAGTGTTTTTGCTTGAAGCCACTAAACACTAGGATAAACTGGAATGTAGCAATGAAAATCTTGCCGCAGCTCCTCTACCCACACATAGATCTGTAGCAGAGGACAGATGGCTTGAGAGTGGCAAACATTACCTCCATCCAATCAGCTAAACACACAGAGAGCCAACACTCAGAAGCGAAGCTCTATGTGAAAAACAAGAATATAAACAATTTAATCAGACACATCCAGGGGCTTCACATTATAAGGAAGAGAGAATTCACAGCTTCCTAGACAAGGATTTCAAGGAGCCCAGATAAGTTAGTAAACAAAGAAAAGTGAAAACAGCAATAATAAAACCTGGGACATGGGTCAGAATCCAGTATCACTACCATGTTTTTTTTTTAATGGACAAATAGAATTGCATACTTTTATGATGTAACACACGTTTTGGCATATGCACACATTGCACAATGGCTAAACAAGTTAACTTAGCAATCGTAAGTCTTAACTTGACACTGTTGTTTAATATCTAGTTTTAAGCAAAAAAATCAGAAGATACGAAAAGAGACAGGAAAGTGCTGCACGTGCTCAGGAAAGCAGAAATAAGTAGAAACTGTCTGAGTGTTTCCAGATGTTGTGTTTAGCAGACAAATTTCAAATAACTATTATAAATGTATTCAAAGAACCAAAGCAAAGTAGGTTTTAAAATTTAAACGAAATTATGACAATAATGAATCAGCAGAGAAAAATTTAAGAGATAAAAATTATGAATAATAAATGAAATTTGGGAGCTGAAAAGTATAATTTAAAATGAAAAAATTTACCAGAAAGATTCTATAACGGGTGATAGATGGCAGAGGAAGGAATCCGTGAACTTGAAGATAGCGATAAAAAAAATCCAATTTAACGAACACAGAGAAAAAAATGACTGAAGAAAAATTAACAGAGCCTTAGAGACAAGTGGGACAACATCAAGAATGCCAAACAATACATAATGAGAGTCCCAGAAGTAGAAAAAATACAATTATTGAAAAAAAAAATTGACCCAAACCTTCCAGAATTTGATTAAAAAAAAATATTAAGTACATGTCCAAGAAGTTCAATAAACCTCAGGTGGGATAAATACTGCCTAAACACATCACAGGCAAACAGTCAAAAGACAAAACAAAGGCAGAGATGAGCAAGAGAAAAATGATTCCCACACTCCCGATGAGCACAGTGAGCAGCCAGTGCCCCCTGCGGAAGAGCACAAGGCAGAAGTTAGTGTGCGGACACAGCATCCTGAAAATCTGCTACTACCCAGCAAATCTCTCTGCAAAAATGAAGGTAACGTAAAGACATTGCCACATACAGACAAAAGAATTCATTGTCAAATCTTGCAAATATATTAGGAGATGCATAAACCCAGATGCAAAACATTACAGGATGAAATGAACAGTTGCAAATGTAAAATTATATAAAATTTTTAAAAGAGCAAACCTATGAAGTTAGAAGTTAGGATGATGTTTTCCTTTGGAGAGATGTAGAGACTAGCAGGGATTCTGGGGTACTACTTACACAGGTGTCTTCATTTGTGATGTTGGCATTTTCCTATATATAGTTCCTTCAACTAAAGTTGACTTTTCTTTAAAAGCTGATTGTGTTCCTTCCTTGGTCTGAACCCCTTTACTGTTTCTTCTTTGTATCCCTCCCTTCCCAGGCTGGGTAGAACATGTCAGCTCCAAGGTCCTGCCCACCTCTCTGGCACCATCTCTCCGCCCAGTACTCTCTCCACCCTGCTACTCTGGTTGCCTGCAGTTCAAATACACCATGCCCCCCTCCTGCCACAGGGCCCTTGCTTTGCATATATTCATCCCTTTGGTCCATAACCCTTGTCTTAATCTCTGTCTTTTTTTTTTTTTTCTTTCTAGTACTGGGGATTAAACCCAGGACCTTTGCACTGGGCTATATACCAGTTCTTTTCCATTTTTTGAGACAGAGTCTCAATAAGTCACTGAGTTTCCCAGGCTGAGATTGAGCTTGCGATCCTCTTGTCTCAGCCTCCCAGAGTGTTGGGATGACAGGTATACACCACCATGCCTGGCTGTCTTAGTCCATTCGAGCTACAATAACAAAATATCATAGACTAGAAGGCTTATAAATAACAAATGGTTGTTTCTCACAGTTTAGGACACAGATGACTGTCTAGTGAGGGGCCATTTCCATGTTCATAGACGCCACCTTCTCATTGCATTCTCACAGGGTGGACGGAGCTGGCTAACTCCACAATCTCTTTGTATAAGGACACCGGACTCATAATGGCCCAGCCCTTAAGACCTAATCTCCTCCCACAAAGCCACCTTCTGATACCGTCAGCCTGGGGATACAATTTCAATATATGAACTTTAAGGAGACACAAGCATTAAGGTCACAACAGCCTGGTTGAGTCCTACCTCTCTTTAGCTCGGTGGTCAAGGGGGCCCACTAACCTGCTATTCAAACCTAGCTCCATTGCTCCAGGCTTCGAGCTTTCTGAGAATCACGTTCCTTTCCTTCCTACCTCGCTGTGGATTTATACACTCACTGCCTGCTTGGTGTTTCTCTCACCTGCCCCGTGTTCTAGGGCCTGCCCTGCAGTGTGTCCCCAGAACAATGCTTGGCATGTAGTGCGTGTCTGGTAACTACCTGTTGAAGAAGTAAATGAACGCGCGAGGTATAATTAAAACGTGCGAATGTTTAATTTAAAAATTTCATTACAGTAAAAGACACATTGCCATTAATCCCACTCAAAATACTTCCTCCTCACTCTGAACACACTTAATCCATCGTTCTTGCCCCTTTGTGAAACAGTTCTCCAAGTCCTCTTTTGTGTCTTTACAAGGTGCAATAAAAGATACAGTGTGCACCGCTGCCAAGTGCCACGTGACAGCAAGGCGGGCTTGTAAAGGGTTAGGGTGTGTCCTCTCCCACCTGCTCACCGGATCTGGCGTGTTCAACTCCCGGCTCTTCTCCACAGTCAAAATGATCGTGAAAGGTAAATACTTGGAATTGATTCAGGACATCGAGGCAGCCCAGGTAGTGCAACTAAAGACACAAAAAAGGAAGGAAGGAAGGAAGGAAGGAAGGAAGGAAGGAAGGAAGGAAGATATCCAAGCTGATCTTTGTTAGCAAGATCTTTATGGAAGTGGAGGTGGAGAGACCATGGGAGAAGCTGTGGCAGGGTCCCGATGAGAGTAGTAAGTGGAGAGGGGCAGTAGCCACACAGGCCAAATGGGAGGAAGCCAGTGTCCCAGTGGAGCAGAACAGGGACCCTGATGGGGACAAGAGGTAATGGGGTTCTGGTTCCTTACTCCATGACCTTCCCACTAAAGGGGAGGGCATTTCTTTTCCCCCAACCTCCCTGGAGAGCAGTGTGTGGGATGTATTTCCCTTAACCTCTATTCTTATTGCAAGGACCAGGTGCCTTATAAGAACAGATGATGCCAAGATGTCTCCAAGGGTACGAATCACAGTGAATCCATATCCTCCACAAGAAAGAAGGTCCCTAAAACACAAGGAAAAATTAAAACAAAAATACCATACATATGACCCAGCAGAAAATTACACTAGCCCACCCCAGACAGTTTTCCTCTTCTCTTTGTCAATAGGCTCAGTCTGATCCTCTCCATCGCAGCTGTGCCCCCTTCAGCTTCTTCTGGTCAAGCGGACATCCCTTCCTCACTAAAGCTTTTGCCTGTAAATGCATCCTGTCATCTCAGTTTTAATTTCTATGATCACTAAAGCAACTTTCCAAACAGTCCTGTGTCACCACTTCCACTCTGACCCTGGGACCAGCCCCAAGCCTGGCGGTGACCTCACAATCACTCCCCAAATGTCTGTCTTCTAAGGCCCATACCCCACCTCCCTGCCTTTTATGATCCCCTCTAGAAGCCGCACCCATTTTCTGAGGCCACACCCTTGTCGCTCACACCAGCAAGTCCAGGCACAGGGATCAAGAGGGTGCTAGCCACTTGCCCAGAGCGGAGGCAGGACTCCAGCATGTCAGAGAAGCCAGAGGATCCAAAGGAACCAAAGGACCTAAAGGATCTCATGCCCACAGAGAGGAAGACCGTGTGGAGGACAGCAGCGGAGAGGAAGATGTCTGACCTCGCTCGGGAGCTGGAGTGGCTGGAGCGGAGGAAGGGGAAAAAGAAGCAGCCTGTCCAGGTGTGTACTGTCCAAGCAAAGGTGCTGGAAGTCTGTCCAAGTAGAGGGGCTGGAGCTCTGGACTCCACAGGTCCAAAAGGCGGGAACAGGAATGTGTGCTAGCACTGGGGTGAACTAACAGAGTATCTTAGAGGGGAGGCCGGTTAATACGGTTAGGCTGGCTGTGCTTGCTTATTGGTGATTATCAGAATTAAGCTCCTGCCTTGCCCACAGAGACTGATAGGGGTACAGTGTCTCCTGATTCTATGTTAATCGGATGACTCCTTGTCCTCGAGAAAGATATGCTGGTATTAAAAATGTGACAAGAGGCTGGGAGATTGATGTCACAAAAGGGTAGAGAAAAAAAACTGACAACTGTAAGTTTTCTAAAAAGAAATCCTCCAAGAGAAAGGCAGTTGGAGTCCACAGTCAGGAAGAAGCCTATCTAAATTATTTGGTCAAGCCGTGAAGGATGCTACCTTCAGTCAGTATTTGAGAAGGGCTAAGGGGCAGCGGCTCCTGGCTCTTGCTGTTGCCAGAATGGGGTCCCCCACTGTCCCAGCCCCCTGCTCCTAAGAGAGCTCCAGGATCAAAAGGCATTCATTCCCCACGGGGACTACTTCCTACCCTGCCTCAGAGGCAGTTCTAACCCACTCCACCCTTTCTCCAGGAACCGGAGCAACCGAGGAGGTTGTCTTAGTTTTTCCCAGTGTCCCCCACCCCAGGCCCATCATCTATGGAGAACCAGGCTCTGTCCTTGGAAAGAGGTGTCCACTGCCTTTTAAGTCGCGTCCCCCAGCCCTGGAGCAGAATAGGTGATGGGAGCATTACTAAGCCCACACTCATCTCCCAGCAACTTCACGCTCTGACTGTGCTTGGCCTTGAGCATGGGTTGTCCCCTCCCCTGCCCTCAGCTGGCCTCCGAGGTAGGTGCCACAATCACCCTTCAGGCAAAGAATAGAGAAACTGAAATGAGTTAATAAAGCACAGGCCAGGTCTCAAATCCAGATTTATCCAATTCCCGAGCACTGGGGTTTTGTGAGGCCAATGCCCAATATTACCTTCATTGTCTCTGCCTTCCTCAGCTCAGCACCCTGCCCTTCAGGAGAGTTTTCACTTCTCACACAGTCAGAGTCTTGAGTGCTAATTACATCACACAGGAAACATGCATTTGCCCCTAAGATACTAATGATTTACTTACAGACTCCCCTCCATCCTTATTTTGGGGGCAAGGGAGAAGGCTTGACGTCTGGATATCTCAGAACCCCATAGCAATCACAAACATTGCATTCACTTTGGTCGTTAATGTGCTCCAATCTCCATTCACTAGGATTATATTCTAATCATGTTTTGGCCTCTTTATCAAATACGTAGCTTTATTGTACACGATTTTGGACCCAGGGAGGGAACAAACTTACATACTGAAAATATAATTAAATCTTTGCACATCATTTCCCTTTCACAACCATCTGACTTTCTAGCGAAGTGCCTGAGGAAGGAGGTAGAAGGTTTTGCAGGAAGGTCCCAGATGGCAGCAGGCGGCAGGGTAACCCTTTAGTGAAGAAGCCCAGGTGAGGGCCTGCATATAGCCCTTAGGACCGCTGCGGCCTCCTCTCCTCTTTTCCTGGGGTCAGACAATCTAGGCACCGTCCCTCTCAGATTGCTTATGGTGCCCACAGTGACCCAACGGCATTGAAGAAGACCCCCCAAGACCCCCCAAATGAGCCACAGAAGGCCTCTGAATCAGCAACTGCTGAATTTTCCTTGAGTCTAAGGCTTCACCTTATTGACCCTACCCAGCTTTCCCTAAACTGAGAGGTATGTGGGGAGCTGCTTAGATAATGTCACTAGGAACACAGAACATCACAGAGGGAGGAGAACCACCCTGGAGGAGATGACCTTGTCCTCTCTCCTCTTGACCTGAAGCCCCAGTCCCAACTTGGTCCTCACTCAACCAAACAAAACCCTGAAGAATCAGCACCACCCTCCATGGAAACAACCTTGCAACTCCCACCCTTAGCCGGCCCTGGGACTGCTTCTTCCCACGCACCACTGCCTTATCAAAGCCTCCCACCCACTGACACAAGAGTCCTCACTCGGAGAGGGCCTCCCACCTTCATGCAGCAACTGTTTCATTTCCCACAAGAACCTTAGAAGGTGGTTCCTACAACATCTCTATCCCTCAGATGAGGAAACTAAGCCACCACCAAGACAGCCCCAGTTTGCCCAAGGTAAGGCGGCCATAGAGCAATAGATGGCACAGGTTCCAACTCAGGCAGGGTGACCGGAGCCAGCATCTGGGTCACAGTGCCCCTCAGGGAACACCAAAGTGAGGCCAGTGTGTTTCATCTTTCTCATGATGCTCCGGCACCCGCACCCCACCCTCAGACACTAGGTGGGGTGCTTCCTGGGTGGCCCCTTCACCCACTGGGCCCTGGAGGTCCCTAGTGACTGTCCCCATGACTCCTCCTCCACCTTGGTGCTGTAAGGCCAGGCATGGCCATGAACTTGGGGCTCAGTTCAAGGCAGGCTGCCTTTGGCTCCTCCACAAGTCACCAGGAGCCCCCAGGAAAGAAAAGGGCAAGATGCATTATGGTAATGCTCTGGGACTACAGAATGGGTGGGTGGTGAGAAGAGAGGAAGAGAGGGGAGAGGAAAGAGGAGGAGAGGAGAGGAAGAAGTGGACAGGAGCAGGCAGGACAGGACAGAGGAGAGAGGAGAGCCAGGCTGGGTTTACATAAGCATTTACATAAGATTTACATAAGCAGGACAAGCTCAGAGCTGAGATGGTGGCAGGGCCAGGAAGGCACAGATAGGAGGCCATTTGGGAGGGGGTGGGCTTCACCTGGAGGGTGACAGAGGAAGCCACCGGTGGATTACAAATGGAAAGGTATAAGGCAAGACCTAAGGGCCAGTGACAAAGACACCAGGTGCGTCCAGAGGCCTGTGGGACAGTGAGGGAGATGGGGCATTAGAGTGTGGGTGTGGGTACCCACTCGCCAGGGAGCCTTCTGTCCTCTGGGGACAGGGCAGCGTCCTCACGGGGTCAGCTGCAGCACTGACTTCCTCATTCACCTTTACAGAAGCAAAAGGTCGTGGTGATGGAGCCCCCGAAAGCAAAGATGAAGGAAGGGAAGAAGGTCAAAGGTATCAAGAAGCAGCAGGAAAGGAGCACCAAAATGAAGCTCCAGGAGCAGGTACCAAGGCCGGCCTGCTGGGCTCTCCTCCCTCCCGGTCATCACCCTCTGCACGGTGTCTGGCCACATTTCTCACTGAAAGCCATTTAATGCATACCTGCCTCACAGTGACATCAAGATGAATCGGCCATACCCCCAGCCTGTCCGGGTTCACCCCCAGCCTCCTGTGCTCCTGTGGGAGAGTTCCACGGTCAGCAAGCAACTTCCTCCACATCATCCTCCCCATGCCCCTCTAAATGCCATTTTTAAAACACTTGGAAACACTGTGGCCATGTGAGCATAGGAGCCTCCCCACTGCGCAGTGAAAGTGGCAGCTGCAGACCCACTCCCTCCAAGGGCTGGGTGTCCTCAACTAGGGAGGAGCAAAAATGAAGCATTACTCAGCCAGCACAGACAGACTCCCCGCTCCCTCCAGTCTCTCCTCTGCCACTTGGGCCAGTCTTTCAACCGAGGGTGAGGCAAATGAAGCCAGATCCTGGAACCAGAATGTGACTTCTTTCTTACTTCTTCCAAGACCGCAGGGCCAGGCTCCAGGGGGCGTACAGGCTCCACCACGTTGTACCAAAGGCCTTTTGGAGGGGAGCAAAGGCGCCTGAGCATTTTCACAGGCACCCATGACAAGGATGGTGCCAGAAGATCAGGTAAGGGAAGAGCCAGGAACCATTTTCCTTGGCACCCTGATCTAAGGGGAACCAAAACTTACGTCATTCTTGAGGCAGTGGCATCCACGCACAGAAACCCAGGTGGATGTTTAGGGACCAGGCAAGGACAAGCTGGGCGGCCTGGACAGGAGACAGGTGTGTGTCAAGGTTCTGTCCAGCCTCTGCGTTCTCCTCCCAGGAAGCCAGCATGATGTGTCCCCTGATCTCAAGCCATTTTGGTGACACTGACCCCATGAGCTCCAGATTTTATAATTAATTCAGATGCTCTGATAATTTCCATGACAGAAGGTGCCATACCTGCTGGTCTGAAACCTACCAGGTAGTCCTCACACCCAGGAAGGGACGGGCAAATTTCTGATCCTGCCTCCGCCACCCTATGAGAAACAGAGTTGTATAATCTTGGGCAAGTTTCTGTATCTGTGGGATCCAGTTTTCTCCTATATAAAATGGGACGGTAGTATTACCTAGTCACAGGGCTTTAGTGAGATGATGCATGTAAACCCCCTAGTTTGACATAAGGGAGTTGCTCAGTAGATACTAGTGACTATATCTAAGTAAAAAGTTTCCTAACATTTCCGATGGGCTGTACCATGGGGCTGGAAAAATAAATGCATTAGTTGTGCCTGGCATCTTGGAACAGGGATTCCAACAAGCCCCAGGGAAAAGTAGAAAAGAGTTTCTGAGCAGGAGCCACCAATTCACCCATACAAAATTGTCCCTGTTGCACGCAACAAACTATCTCCCCCCTTTCATTTAATATACCAAACCCATTGTAACCAAACTGTATTCTGTCAAATTTACATATGATTGGCTTTAAATGCAGCACAGGATCCTGGATTGAATCCCAGAACTTTACTTCAGTGGAAAAACTCATCAAATCTGTAAGAGCTCTATAATGTGCCAATGTAAATTTCTTAGTTTTGACAACTGTGCTATGGTTATATAAAATGTTAACATTTGGGAAAATGGAGTGAAGGATATACAGAAATCCTCTTTATTTTCTTTGCAACTATTCCATAAACACACAATTATTCCAAGCCACAAGTTTATTAAAACTTCTTGTGCAGAAACCAAATTGGTTATGGCCTAGAGGAAGTCCCATACTTCAGACAAGTTTTCTAGGACCCCTAGTATCCCTCTGGCTCTAAAATCCTGGTCCTATAAGGTTCATGAGTTGCTTTACATCCTGCTTCCAGCAGATTTTCTCCCCTCCCTGATATCTGGCAACCCCACACAGAACAGCCCTGTTTCCTTGATTTTTGCCCCAAACATCTCACATGGAGCCTTGTATGTAAGCAGATTTTTACCAAAGCTTAAGGGCAGCAGAAGGAACAAATTACATCAGAGCAAACAGAATGGATATGAGAATGCCTTATTCCCCAACTTTCTTTGTCTCCTGTTCCTAGATTTTTTTCCTGGCTACATTTCACAGCAGGAAATTCTCAACTTCAAGAATTGGATTAGAGTGAGACAAGCCAGGCACCTAAGGCACAAAATTAAAGGAGGCACACAAACTCGGGTACTAGCACTGTACTTGCATGAGCCTGAGGGTAAGAACCTCCTTAAATTCTCCCTCACTCCGCCAGGCCGACCCCAGGCCAGTCAGCTGTCCACCTTCCTCCTTCTTTCCTTTGCCTTCTCCTCCCTCCTCTGCATTTCTCACCCCACACATTCTCATTGGCTGTTTACTTGGAGAAATCTTTGTTTCATTTTTCTCATTCCCAAAGTAGAGCATCAAGATTATTTTCCTTTTTAAAATATCAATTATTTCCCTAAAAGAAACACATAACTGTTGGCTCCATAATTATTTTTATCTCACTGCATAAGAACGCAGCAGGACACCCTGACTTGCAAACCATTTAATCCTAGACAGTTCCCTTTCTTTCTCTTCATCCAAAACAAATATACTCCTGGGAGACTGGAGAAGCCTTGTCTCTCCTGCTGTAATACAACAGGTGACCACTGGAGGCAGCAAACGAGCCAGTTAAGGGCCACCACAGTTCAAAGAGGTCTAATAGCAGCAGCCTATGGATTCAGATGTGGCATCCAGGGATGACTCAAGGCTGAGCCTGGGCACACAGGAAGGAGAGCTTCTTGTGCAGGCTGGCAAAAGGCCTGAAGTAAGTGGGCAGGATCTGGACTAGGAGACAACTTCAAGACAGAGCAGCCCCTAGGAAGGGCATGGAGCTGCTTATATCCCCAACTTTCAGTGTTATTAGCTTGAATCACCTTAGGCTTAGCAAACGCACCATGCCTCTCATTGCATCCTCCATTTTAGAAAATGGCATTATTACAATATGGTGGCCCCAGTGGCCCAAGTTAGAAGCCAGAGATTCGGTTCTGTCTCTTCCCCCTCTCTCAACTTCCACGACCATTTGTCAAGTCCTAGCTTCCATCTTCTTTATATCATTAATCTCTTTCTCTTTCTCTCCATTTCCACTACCATTATCTGAGCCTCCAATAGCTATTAGCCTCTAGAACTACCATATTCTTTCTAATTTTTGTGCCTTTATATTTAAAATGGCTTTTGTTATAAAACCACCATAGAAAATTAATAAAGTTCCAATAACTGAAAACTGACCTTCAAGAAATGAAGATCAATGAGCTGATTGACAAATAACTTTGAACAATCCTCTTAAAGAATTCAGTGAATGAATTATAAGAAAAAAGACAAGTTAATGATATTAGGACAACCATACTTGAACAAAATTATAAGGGCAACAAAGTTATACAATTAATAAAAATATTAATGTCTGATTGAAAAGTACAATAGAACAGTTTAAAAAGCAGATATGATCAAGCAAAAGATCCCTGAATTCAAAGACACATTTTCAATTATCCAGTAGGGGGAGCAAATAGAAATAAATGATAAAAACAATGAAGAAAGCTTGTTGATTTTAGGTGACACCATTACACAAAATAATATATGTATTATGTGTGTCCAAAAAAAGAAAAAAGAGGGAGAGACTGGAAGATTAAAGAAATAATGAAGCCAGGAGTGGTGGCACATGGCTATAACCTCACCCATTACTTGGGAGGCTGAAACAAGAGGATTGTGAGTTTGAGGCCAGCCTGGGCAATTTTGTGACTTAGTGAGATCTTATCTCAAAATTAAGAAGGGGCTATGGATTACAAAGTGCAAAGGCCCTGGGTTCGATCCCTACACACAAAAAAACAACTATTTTTAAAAATACATTTTAAAGGGACTTTTATGTTTACCCCCTCTTTGAGTGCTCTTTATTCCTTGGTGTAGATCCATTTTTCCATCTGGAGTCATTTTCTTTCCCCTTAAAATCTTTCTTTACCATATCTTGTTGTGCGGGTTCGTTGGTGATAAAGTTTTACAGCTTTTGTATGTCTAAAAAATTTTTTTTACTTTTGCTCATGAAAATTCCGTGTGGAAATCAAGACTGACAGCCTTTCTTTCAATACTGTAGTGAGGAGCCACTCCTGTCCTCATTTGCATTGTTTCCCTGGAAAGATGGCCACCACCCTCATCCATATTTCTCTAGGGTGCAACTTTTTCCTTTGCCTTTTTAAAGATTTTCTTTTTAAGCAATGAGACTCCCAGGCCATGGTAACTGTCCACACCCTGTTAAGAACAACCACGCGAGCAAAGCTCCATCTGTGTTGGCAGCCACTCTCCATTGCTCACCTCACTGTCTGAGCTCCACCTCCTGTCAGAAAAGCAGCAGCATTAGATTCTCAGAGGCATTCAAACCCTGCTGTAAATGCACATGTGAAGGATCTAGGCTGTGTGCTCCTTTGAATCACCCCAAATCACCACCCTTTCCCAGTCCACAGAGAAACTCTTCCACAAAACTGGCCCTTGGTGTTGTAAAGAGTGGGACCACCGAAACAGACAACAATGTACCTTAATGTCAGTTTCTTCGTGTTTCTTATTTTTACGTTTGAATTTTTTTGCGATTCTTAGTCAAATATAGAAAGGTTTAGACATTATTTTCTAGAATCGTGTTTTACATCTTCCATTCTCTTCTCTCTCTTTCAGAAACTCCAATTTTATACACTTAAAGTTCCATAACTTTTTATCTTTTAGTCTTTTCTCCTTGTGATTCATTTTGTATAGTTTCGGTTGCTGTCTTCAAGTTGACTCATCATTTCTGCAATGCTTAATCAGTCAGTTCCATTCCGTGTATTTTTTGTTTCAAATATTGTCATTTTTATCTCTAAAATTTCAATTTGGGTCTCTTCTGATCTTTCATGTCTCTGTCATGTCCATCGTTGATGAAAATAACAGTATATTTAAGAAGCCATGTCAGTGCCCCATCTAGCATTTCTGTTAGCTATATAGTTTCATTCTTGTGTGTGATTAGTACTATACTTGGTTGAGAGGAGCCTTTTCATAACTCTGCAGCAGTCTTTCATCTTTCTCCTACTATAGCTGGTCTACCTAAATTACCTACTCTCTCTGTCTCTCTCTTCCAAACTCAGGGAGACCTCTGGTTCTTCCTATGTTTCCCTCTTCTAGCTGCTAGCTGGAACAGTTGTAGGGCTCACTCAAGGATCACCAGCTTGTGTTGCCTGCTGTCCAATGTCTGAAAACTGCAGTTTCCTATAACATGCCAGTTTTTAAATTGCTTATGTTGGAAGGCAAAAGTCAAGTTCCTGTTATGCTGTCTTGGCTGAAAGCAAAATTCTCAGACTGACTTTTGTAAAACATAAACCTGATTGAAATGCACTGGCAAGTCACTGAAAATTTTTAAGTAGGAAATTACCAAGCTGGATTTGAATTTTAGAAAGGTCACTCTGAATATAGACCAGTACAAGATCCTGGAAAAACAAATGGAGCCTGTTTCCAGAGTAAATCTTGGCAAAGTCTGAGTAGCTAGACTTTAGGGAATTTACTTCAATTTTCCTCCCTGGGGACCTATGTCTAGGATATTTTGTAGATACCAGGCCAAGGGTGTATTTCTAATACAGAGAATTAAGAACCATAGCTCTCTCTCTGTCTCCATGAGTACAGAGTTAGCCCTTGAAATCCTAAACATGACCCACTAGACATCTAATTTACTTGTTCAGGCATGAACCCAGGAGTGTGGATCATTTTTATACAAAACCACAGCCAAGACAGTTTCAGCCCCAGAAAAAGGTACTGACAACCTGGGCCCAACACATGGGCTCAACATTAAATATGGCATCAGAGGCACATTACCTAATCCTTCTGCTCTTTGAGTTTTTCATTTGCTGCGTGATACAACTTGGTTGTGAGATTATAGTGCACCTTCCCCCAAGAAAGCCCTTGAACTGTTGTCTCAGTCACTTTCTTTGACTCTAGGACAAAAAATACCTGCAAGTTAAAGGAAAAGAGGCTTATTTCAACTGATGTTTTAGAAGTTTCAATACTTTAATGGTTGGCTGGCTTCATCCAGAGGAACCACGGTTGAAGGGCCTGGTTGACAGAAAACTACTCATCTCGTGGCACACAGGGAGCAGACAGTGGGGCAAGGGAGGAGCCAGGAAGGAAAATGTAGCCTTCCAGGTCACACCCACAGTGACCCACCTCCTCTGACCAGGCCCCCACCTCCTAACAGCAAACCAAAATCTCCACTTATGAGCTCATGAGGCTCTTGGAGGACATATGGATATGAACCATAATAATTGTTATTTTCTTTCATACTGCCATTCTTCCCAACAAGGTCCACCTGGATGGAGAAGTGGGTTAGAAATCACAGGAAATTCTCTTTCTCTGAAAAATCTCTCATTTGTGTCAAAGAGGACACTAAAATTATGATCCACCTGGAAGATATATCAGTTTCTACCATGTACAAATGGGGACTGCTAAGACTGTGTCAGTGACCAGATGCCAGGCCAAGACCACACTAGGTATAAAGTAATTTAACCTAATTTAACCACTAATTCATTGTGAGAACTTGGACAAGCCACATTTTATCCAGCCACTGGCCCTCTATTTGTATGACTGTAAGAGAGCTAGACTGACTCATCCCCCTGGGAATATCCTCGTTAAATCCCCAAACTTTGTAGATGACGTCTCGGGAGTTTACAGAGAGAAACAACAATTAAAAAGGCCAAAGAATTGGACTGGCATCTACCTAAAAGTAGAATGGTACATGCAGACCACACAGACTAAAGACTTTTACCCCATAATCCTGTCCCCAGCACATAAAAATGTTACTTTTGAGGTAACTAAATGATATTTTCAGATTTATAAATATTTAAGGACTTAATCAGCCATATAGCCCTTTATCTGCAGACAATTCTCTGAAAGAGAGCAAAGGCAACAAATTAGTAAATAATGGATCTTAAAATCACAATCTCAATAAGCTGGTGACATAAAAATTTGAAAACAAAAGCATAGGCAAAGATAACCCGGAAAGCAAACAGATGAGTTAAAATTGAAGCTAAAAGAAACATGGGGGAAATGATGAACACATGTTAAAGAGAATTAATAATCAAAACCTACAGGCACCAAAAATATAGCAACTAAATAGTTAAAGACATTTATAAATGCAAAGAAAACTTTTAAAAATAGTTATTTAAGGAAATTTTTAAATTTCCATCAGAACAAAATAGATCATATAGATAACAGGAAGTACACAGAAGGATGTAATAATGCAATTAATAACATAACTTTACATCTAAATAGAGAAAATAAATGTTTATATTGACAAAGAGTACTTACAAAAATCACCTTTATATTTCATCACAAAGAAAAACATAGACATTCCAAAAAGTAAAGATGTGGGGGCCACTTACATCATCCTAGACCAACAAAAAGAAATAAAATTAAAAGATATTCAATTTAGAAATGGAAATTAAGGAACACACCCCAAATTATCCATGTATCAATGAAATAAAACCTGTTTCATACCCAAAACTCATAGAAAAAGGCAAAATGTATGCCCAGAAAATAATTTATGATAAAAACTAAAAATGGACTGGGGATTTAGCTAAATGGTGCTACCGCCTGCCTCACAAGTGCAAGGTGTCTTGAGTTTGATGCCCGATACAAAAAAACAAAAAACTAAACTAAACTAAACTAAAAGTAATGGTTTGTGCATTTATTTTGAAAGAACTAACATTTTATATTAGTCAGTGTTTACTAACATAGAAGAGTGCAAGACATCTGTCTGTGTGCTGGAGACCCAAAGGATCCAGTCAAGTGTTCAGAGCCCACAGCAATGTGCAATGCAAGTCATATCAGGAGGCCAAAAGATCGGCGCTGAAAGTGTCTGCACCCAAAGGCTGAAGGATCTGAACCAGAAGGCTGAGGGATCTGTTCTGGAAGCCAGGAGATGGCAGGCGTCCAAGATAAAGATGAGGACTAAAGCTCCCTTGAAGAAAGAAAGCATCCAAAGCTCCTTCAGAGCAAAACTGCCCAAACTCTTCCAAAGGAAAGAAGCTGCAAGGAAGCTCTTCCAGGGAAGATCAGCTGAAATCCTTCCCTCCCATCCTCCTTTTATACCTTTCAACAACCACGCCGACTCAAATCTGCTGGGTGTTGCTACTCAAGTTGACAATTAATTGACCATCACAATTTTTTTTTACTATCTTAACATGTAAAAAACTTGCTAGGAAAAAGAGAGGCTTAATATATTAAACACTGGATGAGATTAATGAAAATCAAGATTAAAAAATAATTAAAAGGATAACTACACCAAACACTTGGGAAGTTGAGGCAGAAGGATAGCAAGTTTGAGTCCTGCCTGGGCAACTTAGTAAGATTTGTCTTGAAACAAAAAATAATAACAAAAAGGTCAGGGTATATAGCTCAGTGAAAAAGCCCTGGGTAGAATCCCAGTACCACCATCACCCCACACAAAAAAAGTAAATATACAGTGCCGACTTTTTTGAGTAAAGCAGGTGATAAATAATATGAAGTCATCACAAACCTTACTATAAGGAAGAGTAAAAATATACAAGATTTTGTATGAGAAAGGGTACCTAAATATGTCATAAATTTACATACTAAATATATTTGCCAATTTTTAACATCTGTATTATTGTATAAAGGCAAAATATTCTATATTCTAATCTTTAAAGAACAAATGAGCTTGATATCAGTTCAACTAGCATAGGCCATATAAAATATAGACATTTCTGCATTAATTTGACAAGCCACCATAACTCACTACTAACAAAGTGTACCAAGAATAGACCAATTTCAGAATAATAGAGATGCCAAAAAATCTAAAAATATTTTAGAAAACATATATAATATATGAAAATACATCAAATATGCCAATTTCTGCAATGAATAATACAGCATAACTATATGAATTTATTATAGCATGGAGGGAATGATTCAATATCCAACTATCTAGCAGCAAAATTCATTACATCAACCAAATAAAGGAAAAGCTGTATAGTCATATTAATATATGACTTAAAAGGAATAAATAAGATCAAGCAATAATTACAAATAAAAATTCTAAACTAGAAATCATTTAAATACATGTAACCAAAAATAATGGTAAATATCACTGTAGGTGAAGAAATGCTGTAGTCATTTAAGTAAAAATAGAAACAAAATGGAGCATGACTTTAACATTTTATCATTATTGTTTTAGATGATCTGTCAAATGCAATATGTCAAGGAGGCTATATAATTTTTATAAATATTGAAAAGTATTTTTGTTTTCCAAATATGATTGCTTATCTGCAGAAGTCAAAAAATTCTACTTCAAAATTAATAAAATTTGCTATGGTTATAAGTGTACTTGACAAGTATTTTTTAAGTGGACTTTCTATATAGTAGTCACACCAGTCCAAAATAGAATGGGTAGAAAATATTCCCTCTCTTAGGCAAGAAAATTGTAAAATACCTAAAGAAATCTAACAAGCAAACCAATTAAGGCCTCCAAGCTCTAGCTTCAACAGAATTTATTCACTGCAAACTTCATATTTGGGTCACATCAGACGCACAATTTCATGCACTTGTGCTATCGTGCATGCTGTTCCTCTCCCCTGCAGTCCTTTTCTTTTTGATAAACTATTTGTCCTTTAACACCCCCCCAAAAGCTTATATCCTCTGATTTCTCCCTCTATCTCCTGTAGGCAATTCCTTTAGGTAAACTCCCTCTGGAGAAGGAGGAAAGAAGGTGGTGTTAAAGTGAAGGAGAGAAAGGGAAGGGAGAATAAAGGATAAAAAATAAACAAATGCCCCAAAGGAACCTGTAGAAGCCAGAAGCCCTCTACCTTCAATCGGGGGTTAATCTGAAGTTTATGCACCCTTTCAGCCTTGTCTCCTTTCTGTATCCCCACCTCTCACGTCTCCTAGGATCTAACTCCCTGGTGACACCTGTTCATTTGCAGAGTTGGACATCAAGGATGCCGTGACTCTAGAGTCCACTCCACGATCAAACACATTCCGGCGCCAAAGCCTGTACGCAGATCCCTCCATACAGGATAATGCCTTTGGCAACCGAAGAATGACCATGATGAAAGACTGGCCAGCCAGGACCTCGGACATTGCTTTCGAACGCAAGCTGAAGAGCCTCATGGAGAAAGGCACTGAACCTAAGATAGAAAATGTGAAAATGCTGAAGCCAGAGGAAGTGCTGAGCTGCCGGTGAGCACCTGGCAGGGTAGGGTGGGCGGAGGGCTTGAACAGACTGTGAACACCACTGTCTCTGGCTCAGTCACCAGGAATATAGGAGGGTGGGCTGAGCATGACCAAACTCTGGCCTTGGGTCCCAAAGACCTGCTCCAGGCTAAAGCCGCAGAGTTTCCCAGCAGCCTGCCTTGCCCCAGGACCACCTCCCACATGGGCATGCCAGTTAGATGCTGCCACTGGATGCTGTTACCCATCTGGACACTTACACACCCCTTCCAATATTCCCATTTGTTTCACGATAGCAACCAATGATAGTATTCAAACAGGAAAGGACAAGTTGTGTGTGGTCTTGTTTTAACAAGAAATTCCCCTAAGATCCTTTACATGATTGTTGAATGATTGTAGCCACTGTCTCCAGTGGCTACCTGCTATACATTTGGAGTTTTAGACTCCCATGGGGGCTGTGGACAAAGCATAAAACCATATGGTATTTACTCCTCTTACCAAGGCTCTCCTTTCTTGCTTGTTTGGTAACTGATTTCAGGGACTCACTGGTTTTCAGCAACACCAAACAGCCTGCTTCCCTCCAAACAAAAATCCGAGGATCCTTCTCCCTAGCTCAGTGTTATTCTTTACTGTAAAGATGCAAATGACAAAGTTCAAAAGCTTTAGCTGAGGGAGAAATAAGACAACAGAATAATGTAGTTATCCTTGTAGAGTTGACAGCAATAAACTCATCTGTGGGTATAAGATGGCCTTAAATGTTTGAAAAGCAAACAGTCCTGTTACAAAGGTCCACTCTGCTCATTGACTGGCTAAGGGATGAGTGGAATGGTTGGCTGGCCGAAAGATAGACAGAATATTAACTTTAAAGGCAATGCCTTTGGCTTTGGCTTTCAGATTAACAAGCAGTTCTAACTAACTCCGGCCAACAGACATCTTCCCCAGGCTCCACGATGAGGGGAAAAGAGATTTGCATAGGACTCCGGCCCTCAGGAGGAAGAGGAATGACTGTCCATACTGCAAATGTGTGGAACCCTCCCAGGCTGGGCTGCTCAAGAAGGAAGGGTCAGGCAGCGCTGGAGATGTCAGAGAAAGTGTAGTCCAGGGGTGGGGATTGGTGTGGGGGCCTGAGTTGGCCATAAGAGGAGCAAGTTCTGGGAAGGTTTCAAGGGGAAAAAATGCTGTTACCAAGGGACAGAAACCCAATAGCAGCACCAATATCCCCATCATCTGCAGCAAAGTAACCAACCAGCAGGTGGCCTAAGGAGGGTGTTTTCCTCACTCCTCATACTAAAGCTGGGGCCCAGGTCAAGGTTGATGGTGGAGTAAGGAGCTCTCTGGCTGCAATAGCAGACACACTAGCAGAAACACTCTGGACCACACAGTAGCGATGGGATCAATGTCATCTTTCCATCAACATCAGAATTATGGGACTTCAGGAAATGTTTGAAATTAATGGCCCAACTTTTTAACTATTTGAAAATTATTCAAAGAAAATATCTACCTCAGTTCCCCCAAACTGCTCAGCCATTCTTCCTGTGGCTCTGTATTTCCCTGGCCCTTGCCACCCCTCAGATTCCATGTCCATGACAATGACACCCCATAGAATGACCTGCATCCAAGTTTTTCTCCCCACATGATTTAATGTGACATTTTCTTCCTCCTAATAATGCCTTTTGACTAAAGGCAGAGCTTGTCTAGAGCCAGGCAGTAGAGGTCCCATGCTCACTGCAGCTTAACACTAAGCAAGCACTAAGAGTAGGGATGCCCTTGTCAATAAAGGTAGAAGCAGCCAGGCATGGTGGCACAATCCTGTAATAGCAGAACTCTGCAAGGTAAGAGGAGAAAGATCACAAGTTTAAGCCCAGCCTGGGCAACTTAGTGATTTAGCAAGACCTGTCTCAAAATAAAAACTAGAAGAGACTGGTGATGTAATTCAGTCAAAGGCCCTGGGTTCAATCCCCAGTGCCACAAAGAAGAAAAGAAGCTATATGACCCCCCCTTCACTGACCTCTTTGGCCTTTTCCTACACAGATACCTGAGGTTGTCCGAGAACAACATCCGGACCTTGCTCAAGCTGTGCAAGGATGTGGGTCTGAACATGGACATCCACCCTCACATGACTGAAACGGAGATAGATGTTCAAAAGGTGTTTCCCCCGAAATGCAGTAGCACCACCCCCTGAACAGCTCTTCTCCAGGGCTACCTCCAGCTCCTACTGCTGTCCATCTTGGCCGCCAGATGCTATCCTCTGGCACACTGCAACTGGCCCTTCAGACTTAGTGCATCTCTTTTAGAGAAGTAGCAATCAGAAAAGCATCAGACTGCTCTGTGGATGTAGGCTTTGTCCTTACCACCCGCGTCCAACCCCACTTAGGAGAAACTGCAGGTTTTCTCCCTATTAAAGAGGACTCCTTAGGAAGGGCTTCCAGGAAGGAAGTCTTAGAGGGAGTGGAAAATGAGGGACTTTAAGAAGACAAAAGGTTAAAGGACACACACACACACACACACACACACACACACACACACAGAGCCTCTTTTGTGCCTATGCAGAGGGGGAGCAAGGAGAGCCTCTGTCAGCATATGGGCTGGGAGCTTTCAGAGGTGGCAGGGGACTTCTGTCAGGAAGCGCAGGACATCATCATCCACTTGAAGAAGGAGAGAGTGCAAAGTACTTTCCCAAAGTCACACAAATGGGAAATGACAGGACTGGGGTGACAATAGTGTCCTTGCCTCAGCTTCCTGCTTTGCCTTCTTGCATGACAGAGATTGCTGGCAAATCCCGCAGACACTGCCTTCCAATGAAGCCACAAAACCAGGCTCTTCTTGTCCCCATAATCATTCAGAGCAAGTTTGAATCCCAACTGCCCCACTTACTCCCTGTGTCACTGTTTAACTTTAGGCAGTTATTTTACCTTTGTTTCTTCAGCTATAAAACTGTACTAAGGGCAGCTCCTGCTGAGCAGGGAAGCAGCGAAGTATAAGCAAAAGCTTGTAGATGATGGAGAAGCACAGTCACTGACACCTAAGGATTCATTAAAAACACAGGCTGCCCGCATGGCCCTGGGTGGATAAGGGACTGACCTTTCAGCCACTGCATTCCCAGCCAAAAGCCTCAGAATTGGGCGTGCCCATGTTGAGTCAAGCCCTGTGGAAAAGCTGGTGATACAAAGCTGCATCCTCCCATGGCAACCCCCAAAATCTTTTGGTCCCCAAGTCCCTAGGACACAGCCCCAAGGAGCAAGACTCTCATAGGAAATCCCCATGGTACTACTTCAACCAGGCTGAGCTCTACCTTAGACTCAGGAAGATGGCAGGGACTGCCCTTCCCTGTGCCTTTCTAATGTCCAGGTCCCTCTCCCAGGCCCTAAAATGCCCTTTAGAATGGAGTGATCTCTGCTGAGAGTCATCACCTTGGAGCTATAGAGAGGGTATGAAGGATGCCAGGCCCCACACCCACCCTAGCCGCTCCTGCCCACTCTGGAGGCACAGGCACCACTAAGGGGAGACAGAGCCCTCAGAGAAGAGCACAGGACAAGGGAACAGGAGCCAGAACACAGGGAGCCTTGCTATGCTGGAACAGAACCATGTGAGGCCCACACCAGAATCTTCAGAACCCAGCAGCACATGATTAAGTGATGATTCTTCCTTCCAGTAACTTGCTGTCCCTTTGGGAGAACCAGCTCTTCAAAAAAAAGGAAAAGGAAATGTATTTTCTGAACACCCCTGTATCATTTTCCATTGCTATAACAAAATAGCTGTGATTGGGTAACTTGTAAAGAAAAAAGGTTTATTTAGCTCATAGTGTTGGAAGCTGAGAGCCCAAGCTTCATGGTTCAGGCTCTGGTGAGGGCCTGACTATACCACACCATGGCAGCGCCCTCCTAACAGGTGTATGGGAAGGAGACCAGAAGCTAAAGAGGCGGGACAGCTGGTCTTGCCTTTTTATAACAACAACTTCTGTGAAATAACCAGGGCTCATAGGAGCTTGAGAGAGAAGCACCCATAGCCTCTCATAAGGCCTCACCTCTTAAAGAGCCCAGTGGCCTCTCCTGTGGCCACACTGGGGACCACACTTGGACCACATCATGAGCCCTTGGGAATACATTCAAGCCACACCCAAACCACAACAACCAAGTGCCAAGAACATTGCCAGTCTTCATCCAAAAGCAAAAGCTGAAATCACCCTCAAAGGTCTTCATGTCAGCCCTGCAGACCCAGAGTCCAGGTCCTCACCATCAGAAGTCTCCTCTGATCTGCCTCTCCCTTGCTGCAGAACATATTTTCTCCCATTCAAGCCACCATGGAAAGAGAGAAGTCAACTTTCATTCCTAGTAAATATGTATGTTCAAGAAGGACAATGATGAGGAACAAAGAAGAGATTAAATGGCCCTGAAAAGACACATTCCAGACACACTAACCATAACAAAGCAATATGACAATGGCTACTTAGCCTATTTATCTTCAGGCTGTTTTTTCCCACAATTTTGCCACACAATTCAGTTGATTATGACTCCACGATCATTACCATATCTCTCTTCAAAACGAATGACTGAAAACAGACCCAGCCCAGTTCTCTAGTAAGGGATGAGGTTCCTTTCCTGTAATGAGGACAGACTTCAAGGTAACATTTTATTTATTCATTTGTTTTCTTTCCCTCCATCAACAACATTAGATGGCTGACTTTCTATATTCTTCTGTGGTCTGCTCAGACCCCCGGTTCTTTCCTGCAGAGCTGGAATTGTATGTCAGTTCCATTCCTTTTTTCATTTTTATTTTTTTGTACCAGGAATTGAACTCAGGACCTTGCACTTGCCAGGCATGCACCGTGCCTCTGAGCTGCATCCCTCACCCAACAGCTCCTTTCCTCCACAAGGCTCTATAAGCCCCACATGCAGGGTGTTCAGAGAGAGGGACACTTGGGCCCCCCGATGTCACAGAGGAGCCAGGGTCCTAACTCCCCTCATTTGGTGCTCAGAAGTATGGACAGCAGGGTGGTGTCCTCCATTCTCCTGTCCCACAGACAGAGGAGGGGACAGTTAATCACAGCACAGTATGATGAGCACAATGAAGGAGATCAGCCGTCTTGAGAGATCCAGGGTCAAGGGACCGTAACAGTGGGCTGGGGAAGGTGGGAGAGGTGGCTAATGAACTTCTGTGATCCATAGGAATTACTACAATCTGTGTGGGAGAGGAAAGGCAGGCAGAGGAAACAGAACGTGCAAAGCTCTGAGATCAGGGTCTGTGGAGCAAACCGGTGACCATAGCAATTCAGTCTGGACAGAGTGACATCAAGGTGTCAGCAGGTCTGTGCTCACTCCAAACCCTCCAGCAGACTGTTCCTCATTTCATCCAGCTTCTCCTGTCCCAGTGGTTCTGTCACATGGCAGCAGAATACAACTTCTGCCTTCATCTCCATGTGTTTCTATCTCTACTTCTTAGAAGGACACTAGTTATATCAAACTGGGACCCACCCTAATGACCTCACCTTAACTTGATTCTCTTATACAGACCCTATCTCCAAATAAGGTCACATTCCCAGGCCTCAGGGGTTAGGATTTCAATATATGTTTTGGTGAGACACAATCCATCATAACACAGGAAGATTAGAGGTGAAGAGTCAGATGCCCAGAGAGGAGCGGAGACTTCCTTCAAGAACCCCCCCACCAAGTTCATAGCAAAGAGTTGGCCCTGGAACCACATACCTGCTCCCTCCCTAACCTGTCCAGCCACACCCTAGGGCCCATTTCTGCTAACTCAAAGTGCCAGAGATGGTGATGTGGTTCAGGCTGATGGGCCCCTGGGGCAGATTCATCTCACTGTCCTCCGCTGGCACATTCAGAGCCAGGACCCCTGGAGGATTCTCCTCAAACCTCAAGACCCCCGTTCCCAGATTTGCTCAACAACCTGCAAATACTTCACACAAAGTAATCTTGGCAGGAAGTCCAGCTCCCTCAGCTGAATGCCACATCTTCAAGGGACTCTTGGTGTCTGCAGACCCTTAGAGGGAAGTGCAGAAGGAAGTCCATCTCTTGAGCCCAGACATACCTGCAAACTCCTTGAGGCTGGGGGTGACTAGAGACAGGAGAAGAGACCTTACTTTGCCTGAACTGTGAAATTACCTGTGAACAGCGGAGTTACACTAAATTTCCTAAGAGCCATCATCAGGTACAGAGACAGACAAATACATGCAACAGAAACAGACCTGCACATGTTTACAACAAAGGTGACACTGCAGTGCAGTGAGGACAAGCTAATCTTTCCAATACATCAGGCCAGTCAATTAACCATATGGGAAAATGTATTGACCTCTGCCTCCACCATATGCAAAACCACATCCCAGGTGGATGCTGATTGTGGATACTTTGGAAAAACACAAGACAACCTCCACTGTCTTTGGGGTAGTACTTGGAGCATAAGCACTTGGAGCAGAACAACAAAAGTGCCCAAAATAATACAGGAAAGTATATTAAAATGCACAACCTCCACGCATCAAAAGATGTCACTTTGAGAGTGGAAAGAGAGTGACCCAAGAGGGAGAAGACCCATCTTCTGACAAAGGACCCCCATTCAGATGACCTGTCTTTAATGCCTATGAATAAGAAAAAGACCTATAATAGAAGTGCGGCCAGAGTCTTGTATGTAGAATAGGCACTTCACAAAAGAGGTTTGCCAAGTGACCAATGAACAGTGAAAATGTAGCCAGGCTTGGTGGTGCACACCTTTAATCCCAGAACTCTGAGAGACTGAGGCAGAAGGACAGCAAGTTCAAGCCCTGCCTGGACAACATGACCACTTAGCAAGACACTGTGTCAGAATACAGGCATACCTCCATAGAGACATATATACATACAAAAAAGAGGTGGGGATGTAACTCAGTGTGAAGGCCCTGGGTTCCATCTCTAGTCACACACACAGACACACACACACACACACACACCATATACATATAGATATACAAAAGTTTTGGTAACAAAGTTCTGACAACATGACCACTTAGCAAGACACTGTGTCAGAATACAGGCATACCTCCATAGAGACATATATACATACAAAAAAGAGGTGGGGATGTAACTCAGTGTGAAGGCCCTGGGTTCCATCTCTAGTCACACACACAGACACACACACACACACACACACCATATACATATAGATATACAAAAGTTTTGGTAACAAAGTTCTGGTTTCACTTTTTAAAAACAGAAGCCTCAAAAGAGAAGTTATCCAATTCCTTCCACTTCAAGAGGCAGTGGCTGAATCTTAGTCCCCAAGGACCTGGCCACATCCTCCAGGTGGACAGTCTCTGCAGGGAACATAGCCTCTTGCCTCAGCCTGCACTCCTGGGGAAGGTGTTTCTCTCCTCTCCTTGGCCCTCCCCTTTCCCCAGTGCTAGTTCTCTCCCAACGCCACCAGGTGGGGCTCAATCACAGCACAAGACAGCACTTCTGGTGGAGCCAGCAAGTTG